AGCAAACGTCATTAACAAGTGTATTTCTTTTATGTGTCCAATTCCCAAAACAGCTGATGCTTACTTATATGACAAGGAAGACTTTCAAAATTTGAACACCAGGATTGATAAGTTGAATGCACATTTGTTTTTGCAATGTACTGCATCATTGTTATTTCTTTAGAAAAACTAATCATGACATTGTAAAACAGAAATCACCGAGTCCCTTATAAAATGGCAAAATCTAAATCTCTAACACATCAAACGAATGAAAAACAACTTTTATTTTTAGAAAATTGTGGATTAAACCTAGTTTTATAGCTAGTTAAACCTTTCACAGACGCATACAATTCCATTATATTGACAACAATATTTGAGCAAAACAATAATGTAAAAAATTCAGGCACAGCAGTCAACATTGTGTTATAATCTTACCATAAAAACAAACAACTATATCAACAAAGAAAAACAAAATGGCAGATAGACACTCTATAGACAAGTCACATAAGCATGAATGAATGACAAGTATACATTATTATTTAGGGATCAGCTGAAGCCAGCCTCCGGGTGCGTGATTTACTTGCTGTGTTGAGTTTGAGTATCAGTTTTATTAAGAAAACCAAAAGATGGCCATAGCACAACAACACAATGGCGGGGTGTATAAATACCGAGCCACACCAAAAGAATATCACCAACAATTGACCACAAACTGAGTAAAAGCAGTAAACATCTTTCTATAAAATAAATGGGGAACCAGACAAACCTAAACAGCACATTTTATCTGAATGAACAAAAACTGTTTGATCACGCATTCAGAAGCGCATTTAAAATCTAAAATGCACTTCGAGCATATGGATTTCTATTATTTGAATATGTCTTAAGGTGTGGTTAATGTATCCTCAATATATTGTTTTTTTTTCAGCAGATAAGCATTAAACAATATTGTTTCATATGCAAACATCAATATTTTGATTGTCTAACAAAGTAACTCGAAATTCATAGAAAAACAAGGAACCCAACTTATACACAACCATAATGCATGAACATTAAGGTAGCATTTATATTTGTGCATCCGAAGCGCTTTTCTAGACGAATCTTCATCAGGAAAGCATAAAACCTACTTTTTAGTTATCTACGTATGGTCAATTTTGCCTGATGCAGTTCGAACATTAGTTTCGTAAGCACTTCTAATTATACCAACAGAATATTTTTACGAATGATTAATTTAAGAAAAACAATGGAATCACTCCTTTTTATCCTTGTAATCAAGATAAAATATTCGTAAACACTTCCTCAGAACAATGGATCTCGTCTGCGATTGCTGCTGTCAGTATAAATGTTAAGTGTTGACTGCCAATACCTGAGGTCAGTAAGCAGAAAAATATTGAACAACACAGGATAAGTTCCGCCATATGTTCTTGTGTTCGTCTCAAGTCCTAGTATATGATTGTCTTTAATTATCTTAATATTTTGGGAGTTTTTCAAAGTATTTCTTTTCTCAAAAATTCAATTACTATACACGATTTAGAGTATGTGTCATTAGTGGCAAAGTATTCATTTCAGTTTCTGTTTAGGACGGCGACTGGTTTTCTCAACCCTTCCCATAATTTTAAACCACAACAAAAATATGTAAATAACAAAATCTCTTAAAAAAACTCCAGTGTTACCCTGTCGTGATTGTCTTCTTCGGCGGAACTTTATTATTTGCATTGTTAACTTCTGTATTATCGTAATGAAAAAAAAAGCATAGTTCACGCTCAAAATATGGGGAACAGAACGTCACGTTTGTTTTAATAAATTCCATGCGGCGCGCATAGCTGTAATTTATTTATCATCGCATCCGGTGTGTATGTCCGTATTTCATTTATCCAAAGTGTATCAATTGTAACAAAGTATGCATTGCATACGGCGTGTATGTACGTATTTTATTTATCCAAAGTTTATCACAGAATGCATCGCATTAAAATATAGATCATGGCTTAAAAATTTGATAATCCGTAAACAGAAACTGGAATCTGTTGGCTCCTTTTCATTCCACGTAGCCCATTTCTTTAGTCATTTTGTAATAATTGCAGTACAGAAATGTTGTTGATACGAAACGTACCGTGATACAATAATATATTGGCCAATTACCGATACGATTCTGCTATTACACACTTTTGACACAAAATGTTCCCCTTGTCAGTTGTAAACTGTTTCTATTTTGGACAAATTTGGCTGCTGTCCATACAAAACATTCAACAATGAAACTGGTATCTAAGTTTTTTTTTCTACTTTTTAATGAAAAATAACTATTGATATCAAACGTTTTCTACTTCACCATCATATTAAATTTGTGTATAATTGAGAAAATATTGGACTTGATATTCATATAGACACTTCGTTCATGTGACCGTTTTAGATCAAAATTGCTTTACTTATAGCATTATATAAGTTCAACAAGACATGTATATACATTTTTTTGTAAATCATGTAGATGTGGTATGAATCGTAATGCGACAGTTATCCAACAGAGTCCTCGAGTAGCAGATTTAAACAATCAACGGTCATTTTACTGCTTTCATCAATTAGCAAAGCCATACTGTAAAGTAAGTTCAAATGGCTCAGACATGAAAAGATGTTAAACAATGCAAAAGAAATAACAACTTATAAATAAATCATGTTCACTTAGACTAAATTATCAATCAGTACATATCCAAATTTAGTGACAAGACTTCATGAACAGTCTGGGAAAGGCATGACCTTGTGCAATACAAAAAAAACCCCACATAATATGCAATGAATACAAAGTACTGTGTGACATAGTTAAGGAAATAAACCGACATGTCAGTAAAAAACAAATGAGGATTTAAATTAAACACTGTAGAATATTGTTTTCATCGGTAAAAATATCTAAGTAAAAACATAACTAAACTGTGTTTTATTAAACAAAAAACAAAAAACAGTTATTGAGGCCATTTTACCAATTGGACAACTTTGAATTGACGTATAGTTAATGTGTTGATTTTACTTACAAAAGTATACAGTTACCAGAGTTATTTGCAAATAACAGTTATAAGATGTTTTAAACAATTATTTGGATACAAAAGAAAAAAAAGATCAAACAATATTTATATGCAATACAACTTACAATAAAGCTAATGAACCATTGTTTCCTAATAGGACAGTTGAAATTATCCCTGACAAGTCTACACACACTACCTTGATCTCTGTGACCATTATGGAACATTTGTGTCAAGGATGACCAAGTATAGCTTGAATTCGCTCCTTGTTTCCCCTTCCGGACTTATTACGGCATTAGACATAGCATAGGAATGTTACCACTTGTGCAGTATTATTCTTCTTATTTTCTGAGATCACTCACCTTTTTTATGTTGCCAAATCTTCAATTTGATTGTTAAATATTGTTTAATTTCCTTGTCTATTCAACAAGTTAATTTCACTTTTTTATACTGTTTTAATGAAAATAGATTAAAATTAAAATTAGCATTAAAAAGGTTTCCTGACATAATCATTTTAATAATTTCGCTATAAATCGAACCAAATTGGACATTAATTGATTTTATTCGTCTCTCACATATTCTAGTTTTTACTTCCAAATAATGGTATATGTCCAAATCTAAAGGAATGGTGAGCATTAGACGAATTTTCATATAGTGCCATCTGTAAAAAGAATACATACTTAATAAATAGCATCCGGAGTTATTTTATGGATTGTTCCTAATCGAAAAAAAAACGAAAAATAAAACGAAAAGGAAAGCCAATGGAGTATGAATACTTGAATTCCTAAAGACCTATATGAACAAATGAGACCTACAATAAATTGTCAAATCCACCTAAGTTAAATAATATGCATCAGTAGTTTATCGATGTTCACATCTCGTGCAGATCATACAAACCAAGATAAAACAAAACACAAAGGAATCAAACGGGTATGTGTATTTTGTTATGCTTGTATCATCTGCATTCCGAATCCACACTCCGAAGTGTTACAATCGAACAATTTACAGAGCAGACGCCTATCCTGGTATCTACAAATCGAGGACCGCAAAAACATGTCACTATTGAGCTGATGCAAAGATACCTAATATCTATCAACCAATTCGTGGAAAAAACCAAATTAAAATAACACTGTATAAATGTGGTGCATCCAAATTTTTTTGTATGTATTTTTAACAGGAAGGCTAAAACCCACATATTTAAAACCCAATGATGTAAAACGACCTGACTAAGTGAAGAGCTGAATAACTAACAAAAAGGGGAATCAAAACTAAAGTACAAATTCGAAGAGAGACGGACAAAATTATGTAAAAAATTTAAACGACGAAAATATGAACTACAGTCTACAAAACACCATATACAAAACTAAAGACTTAGCATCCAAAGCCCGCAAATATCCAGGTATACTCTGAATGAGCGAGCTACAGGACATCATCAATATATATGAAGGTAAAATTTAAGAACGGAAATCTGTATCTTTATAATGAAATAGGTTTTACATTCATTATGTGTCTTATAAGTACAAACAAGTATAGTTCAAAATAAGTACCAAACGAATACCGACTGTTCTAAAATTATCAATTCACCTAATATTTGTTTAGTTTATCAACCATGTCAGTACCGACATTCTGACTACTGAGCCTATCTGTTTTTTTTGTGTACAAACACTTGGTTGATTCCACTACTGTTGGTATTCTGTCAACGAGGGTAACATTAGAAAGCACTTTCTGGAACGTTTTATTCCTTTTTAATTTCAATATGCTTCAACATCGTAACTTATTTGGCTTTTCAGTTTTTGGATTACAGCACCATTGGTATGTATTTGAAGAAAGATTGACCTGGAATGTTTGACTACTTGTCGTAAATGCAAGCAGAAGACGAAAAGTAAAATTACCCGTTTCGACAATATAACTTGGTTCCAACCTACTTTTTCAAACATGGGTAAAAAAAAGCACAAACATTTAACTTATTTGTTTGATTGGAAAACAGTGTTTTTTTCATATATATAAGGCCTAACTTACATTAATTATATTCCGCTCAAGTACTAAGCAGATAGTTTACCATACAGTGAATTAAAACACCGTTTGCCCATTTTAAAGTTTATCCATAATTCTGGCATGATTGTGTTGACAACTGTGTATGCAGGTAAAAAGCTGCAACAAGAATGAAAATACCATATAATATTTGGAAAAGCTACATAGTGTACCAAAAATACAACAATAATAGTGTAATTTCTCAATTAAAATTGACAAAGTTGAGCAAGTGAAGAAGATACAAAAAATAGCATTTATCAACCTCAATATCAAATTAAATAGATGAATGTACTAAGACATATTAAAACTTGACAAGTGCTTTAGCAGAAACACTAGAAATATAGCTCAAACGGGGTTCCATACTCAAAATATCATAGAAAAAATGAATGTAAATACTTTGCTCTAGAACTTCATAGTTTACTTATTTGCATCAAAAAATGAAAGTGCACATATACAGTATAAACCTTACAAATAAATATTTAACTTACATAGTGGTTTGTCAAAAACGGATATCAAAGTTACAGCTCGATAAAGTTTAACATTGGTCCAATGTCGTTGTGGTTCACAATTGATAACAGGAAACAGGAAATCAACAAAGTAAAAGTGAAAGTGAAAGTGAAAGTAACTTTAAAGTGAAAGTGAAATTACAATCAAAATAAAGGTAAAAAGAAAGTAAAAATTAAAGTTCTAAAAAATGAATGTAATGAATTACTGATAATAAACATGATATACAAACAGCACAAATTACATATGACAGTGATATTTGTATTTTCAGTTGCCTCCCTAATCTGACACAGTAGAAATAATCACTTTCAACTTCTTCACCTGTACCTCATTTCCAAAGGAATATATGGACCTTACTTTTACATATGTTTTCTGATTGTCTCTAAAAAGTACTTAATGAAATAAGTGTTTTAAAATAACAAATTAAAATAAAAAAAAACAATTAAAAAAGATTATTTGTTGCTTAACTAGCAGTGGAATTAAAAACGAGGACAAACAGGTAAACACTTTATGTACTGTTGTAACGAAAGTCTACATTCTTGTTATCAGAAATTTGCCATAAATGGAGGGGTTCAGTTTTAAGAATATCTAAAAAGATACTTGAAAATAACCCTTTTTCAGTAAAATCTTTTTTTTTAAAATAAATTCTTTCAGTAAGGCTGCGTTTACCAGATATTGTAGAAACACATCCTTACACAAATAAGATGTGTTATGATTGCCAATGAATCAACTCTCAACTACAATTTGTCTTTCATATGTTCTGAGCAATAACGGACTTTTTACATTTATTTTGAGTTGTCTCTCTTACCTGACACTGTAGCAAATACCATAAGGGTTTTTCTTTTCTTTGAGACCTTAATATTTTCTTCTGGTTTACTTGGGTCTAACTTTAAAACATCTATCATATGTGGTTTTTGTTTCCGATTTGGAAGTTCACCTTTTTGTAAGTTATTAGCATCAATGTCCTGAAAGGTAACTATGGTTAACATGACAAGTTAATGAACTCGACTGATTACAACCTTAGAATTGTGATTGTAGCAAGACGAATCATTGATAAATTTATGCTGGGGGGGGGGGGGGATGTTCCAATTAACTGAGGATCAAGTGGAAATGATATAATACTATTTGATTAATTCAATGACAATGTTGACCACGAAGCCTGCTTTACTACTTTTGTTCATTCTATTGTTGATCACAATCAAATAATGAGGTAAACTGATACTTAGGAAACTATGAATTTGTTTAAGTAATGAGTGGTACAGATCAGTCACTGGAAAGGGTCTCTATTTCAAGTTTTGTGCTATGTGATAATGTCGAAAAATTAAAATAAAATGCCCTTATTGAATCATAGGTATCTAAAACTCAGATGTTGATTTTCCGCAGTAAATGCATCAGATATTGGTAAAATGTATATATCTCTCCATATAATAGCCTAATCATGGTGGCAATAAGTATTTTTTTTGTCAAAAAATACATGATAAGGTTTATATTTTTGCTATCCAAAATATGAAAAATTCTTAGTTCTCAACCCTACCATTAAACGAATTGATTCAAAGTGCCATTACGCTGCCACAATCAATATTTTTTGATGTCACATTTTAACTTTAGACTAATTTTATTTGTATGCATGTATGCTCATTTGAATATATTTCTGTTAAATGAACAAAGTCAGTTTAGTGTGCTCCAACCGTGTAGTTATTTACATTAAACAGAAGAAAGGAAAGGACAAGTGATCATGATACACCTTATGGCTATTCAATTCCATCCGAACAATAACCAGTCTTTTACACAACTTCTTGTTTGTGTCAAGTGTTGCAAAAAAAAGGTCATCAGCAATGAGCTGAGGGAAGGAAAAGTTTAGAAAGTGAAAATATTGAAATTGCAATAGACATGATAGATTATGATGAAGACATAATCTTTCAATCAGTTTAATTGAAGTTTGGAGCTGGCATGTCAGTTAACTGCTAGTAGTCTGTTGTTATTTATGTATTATTGTCATTTTGTTTATTTTCTTTGGTTACATCTTCTGACATCAGACTCGGACTTCTCTTGAACTGAATTTTAATGTGCGTATTGTTATGCGTTTACTTTTCTACATTGGCTAGAGGTATAGGGGGAGGGTTGAGATCTCATAAACATGTTTAACCCCGCCGCATTTTTGCGCCTGTCCCAAGTCAGGAGCCTCTAGCCTTTGTTAGTCTTGTATTATTTTTAATTTTAGTTTCTTGTGTACAATTTGGAGTTTAGTATGGCGTTCATTATCACTGAACTAGTATATATATTTGTTTAGGGGCCAGCTGAAGGACGCCTCCGGGTGCGGGAATTTCTCGCTGCATTGAAGACCTGTTGGTGGCCTTCTGCTGTTGTCTGTTCTGTGGTCGGGTTGTTGTCTCTTTGACACATTCCCCATTTCCATTCTCAATTTTATGATCTTTTTTTCTGAAACACAATTTAGAGTCATAAAAATACGTTGCTTGGCGTGTTTATGATGTTTTGAACATATCTCTTTCAAAGTTTTTTTTTGCAAAAAACATTGTTTAAACAGGGCATCAGATAGCTTCCACTGGTGTATGATGTAATATAAAACTTTTGTACTTTCAGAACTTATCCCGATTGAAATAAATAGAAATCTGACGATGTTAAAAATCAATTTCTGTAAAATTTAGTAAATATCAAACCCTCACCAATTGAAATATAACAATATTTTTGGTAACAAATTTCCTTATCAATGAATAACTTATTGTTTTCCCACGAAAGGTGTATAATCAAAATATGGGACATATTTTATTGCCGGATTTGACACCCGAAACTCGTATCGATTACATTGTCGGGTCATTTCATAATTATCGATATGATATGGAAACAGAGATGTGACAAATTACGTATACGTACTCGCTATTATTGACGATAATATACAGCCCTACATTACCAATTTGAAACAGTTTTGAAATTAAGATTAGAAATATCCTTGTATTGTCTATCAATTATGTAAAATGTTTAAATTCTTTTCAAAATGATAACATGAACAATTAAACAGAAACTGAAGTTGTTTTTAAAAGAAAAATGGCAATTGCGATTATAACTTTATTTCGTGTTCATATTATCCAACAATAAAAAACGAACTTTAACCTAAAAAATGTTCAAATGATACAATATCTATTCTAAGATTTTGTATGTACAGCAAAAAATATCTGTCTTAATAATAAGATATTTAATTAATTTCAAAATGATAAAAAAAGAAAATGAGACAGAAACTAAAGTTTATTTTATTAGAGAAAATGGCAATTGCGATTATGATTTCTTTCCTTTTTTTTGTTTGCTTTTACTTTCTAATTATCAACTGTGACATACAATAAAAAAAACTTGATTAATAAATATATATAATATCACCTTATGTCATGCGATTTTCTGTCAAACAATTTGTGTTTTTTTGTTGTTGTTGCAAGAATTATTATCTTCGGTAAAAATATCTTTATTGAGGAAACAATTATGCTAAAAGGTAAAATAACAAAAACTACAGAACTCAAAGGGAAATATAAGCTAGCCGACCCCTTCTTCCATTTGATAAAACCTTATTATGTATACGTTTAAAAATTGAAAGGGTTGCTTATATTTTATTTCACATTTGGAATTTAATTGTTTTTAAAGAGTTTGGACTCCTGTGGTGTAGTAACTTCATGTGTACAAGGTGTAAAATTAAACTCATTAGAACATGTTGTGATTTACCTGGTACTCAACTAATCCACAACTAATATACATGTCATACTTTAAAGTTATAATGTCTTGGAGACATGTGTATATTCAGATGAGAAATTAATTTTCATTTTTAAATGTTTAATCTTGAAAGTAAATATTTCGTTAAATATTATGTGTGTTGATCAATAATTATTTTCTTAGAAGAAAATTAGTATTGTAATTATTGATGATATATCATTACATTGATTTCTTTATCAAGAAAAAAAGAAATCTGTCGCTTTATTAAAGTTATATAAGAATCTATTCCATTACAGAAGTGTGTCTAAATGCAAGGTGATATCAAATAAAATCGGTGGCAAAAATTCAGTGACCGTTTTGCAACCTTTTAAGTCATTTAACAAGCTGGATATCTCTCTTTTATGTGTCAATCTTAATGACAAATGATGTTTGATGTTTCATAAATTTACACAGCCGTTGACAATTTTCACTCCAAATCCTTGCAAGTTTCGTAAAACGTGTGGAGACCAGTGATTGGGTCATATCATAAGGAAAAACCTACTGAATTCTAATCCCGTTATTCTAAAAGTCACCGATACAATATACCATCAACATTTGACTGTTACTGGTCATTAAAGTAAAGGTGTGCTGTAAATAAAAGTACACGTATCTAGTTACTATGTTTTATTTTCAAGAGATATCAAAGACACCATTAATTTTTATTTCATTATTTCAATGACACATCTTTATCATTTTCAATTTTAAAAGGCGTTCAAGTACTTTTTAAGCATCTATCTAATGGGAGTAATTAAGAAAACGTCATCTCCCACTGATAAAAAATTCGTACTGATCAGTTTCATTGTACTCACGAATGTTTTTCTTCTAGCATTTCTCGTCTTTATCATTTTTGTATTTCTGTTTTGTCTATTTTAGTACAAATTGAAAGCAAAATAAAAATCACACCTAAAATAATAATGTCAAACTGATAGTTCCCTCCTCTCTCCACCATATCGAAGGATTATTATAAAATACAAGCTTGAAAAAAACCGAATTCAATTGAAAGATAATATATTTACTATTTGATGCAATTGGTATTATCTTTTATAGAAAAAAAAAACATTATGAGGTTAAATAACAACTAATCAAGTTAACAATGACACATATTGCATATATTTGTATAGTTTGTATAGTTTCGTTTTGTCTAGGAATTCTTACAATGCATTGTTGGATATGTTGTGACTGGAAGTGAAATATAAGGATCAAATGTTCCCGAAAAGGCTTATTCAACATTCACCATAATTGTTTTGGTATATAAGTTTTCCAAAATATTACTTTTTAGATGTTTTACTGCCGGCTCCTTTTTTCTTTATTTACAAAGAA